GTAACTATACATAACCCTTTGAGTAACTGCCTCATGGTTTCCAGGGTTTGCACCATCTTACTTTCCCACCAGCAATGTATGAAAGATCTAATTTCTCCACATCTTGTTACTGTTTTTTTTTGTAGGCACCCCAGTGGGTGTTAAGTGGTATCTCATTGTGAGATAAAGTTCCACTGGGTAATCATTGTGATTTTGATTTTGTATTTCCGTGATGGCTAATGTTGAGCTGTTTTTCATGCACTTATTATCCATTTTGATATCTTCTTTGCAAAAATGTCTTTTCAGACCCTTTGTCTATTTTTAAATTTTTTGGGGGAGTGCTTTCATTGTTTAGTTGTAGGAGTTCTTTGTGTATTTCGGATACAGGTTTCAGATACATAATTTGCAAGTATTTTTTTCCATTTTTCAAGATGTCTTTTTATTTTCTTAGTGTTGTCCTTTGAAGCACAAAGTTTCTAATTTTGAAGAGCCTGCTTCATCTACATTTTTCTTTCCTTGTTGTGCTTTTGGTGCCACATCTAAGAAACCACTGACAGATTCAAGGTCATAAAGATGCATATGTTTTATCCTAAGAGGTTTATGGTTTTACAACTCAAAAATAAAGTCAAATACTGCATGCTGTCACTTATAAGTAGTAGCTAAGCAATTTGTACACATGGACATAGAGTGTGGAATGATGGATGCTGGAGACTCAGAAGGGTGAGAGGGTGGGAAGGGAAACGGTGATAAGAAATTCTTTAATAGAATCAATGCACGTTATTCAGGTGATGGAGACACTGAAAGCCCAGACTCCACTCCAATATGTCCATGTAACAAAATTGCACTTGTACCCCTTACATTTACATTAATTTTAAAAGGTGATTTTATAGTGTTGGTTCTTTGATCCATTTTTTAAATATTTTATTGTGATAAAAACATAAGCTTTGCCATTGTAACCATTTTAAGCATACAGTTCAGAGACATGAACTGCAGAATGTTATGCAACCATCAGCACTATGCTTTTCCAAAACATTTTCATCACCCTAAACTGAAGCTCAGTGCTCATTAAGCAGTAACTCCTTGTTCTCCCCTTCCTCCCAAGCCCCAGGTAGGAATGGATTTTTTATTGTATTTTTTAAAATTAATTTAAATGTAAAGAACTAAATGCATCTGGTGACTACCATATTGGGCTGCATAGTTATAACACAACTAGTATCATCCTCCTGGATGGATTGCTACAGTCATTTCTAAGCTGACTTTGCATCTATTGTTATTCCCTTTATGGTTGTGCTCCTTTCTCCCTTCCTCCCTCCCCTCCCCTTTCTCCCTTCCTCCCCTCCCCTCTCCCTCCCTCCCCTCCCCTCCCCTCCCCTCCCCTCCCTCCCCTCCCCTCCCCTCCCTCCCCTCCCCTCCCCTCCCCTCCCTCCCTCTCCTCCTTCCTTCCTTCCCTCCCTCCCTCCCTCCCTCCCTCCCTCCCTCCCTCCCTCCCTCCTTCCTTCCTTCCTTCCTTCCTTCCTTCCTTCCTTCCTTCTTCCCTCCCTCCTTCCTTCCTTCCTTCTTTCTTCTTTCCTTTCCTGTCTCACTCTGTTGCCCATGCAGGAGCACAATGGCATGATCACTCACTGCAACCTCCACCTCCCAGGTTCAAGTGATTCTCATGCCTCAGCCTCCTGAATAGTTGACATTACAGGCATAAGCCACCACGCCCAGCTAATTTTTGTATTTTTAGTAGAGATGGGTTTCACCATGTTGCCCAGGCTGGTCTTAAACTCCTGATCTCAGGTGATCCACCTGCCTCAGCCTCCCAAGGTGATGGGATTACAGGTGTGAGCCACCGCACCCAGTGGCTAATGCATTTCTTCATAGTACTTATTACATTTGACATTTTACTGTGTACCTGTTTATGTCCTCTCTCCCTCACTATGCTGCAAGCTCTATAAAAATAGGGACCTTCTCTCCCCAGGTCTCATAATAGTGCCTGGCATAAAATAGGCTGTTAGTAAATATTTGTTAAGTACGTAAAAGAAGAATCTTATTTATTTCAAGGCTATAAGCTATGTTAGAATCAAAGAGGTGGTCTCTGTGTGAAACTGAAGTATTTCTTCATTGAGGCAGGCATTTAACAGTGTTGCACTTGTTAGTGAAACAATCTTAAGACCACTTCCTGAAAAGTGAACCCCTACAGTTTTGAGTTGCTATTTGCTAATACATCAGTGTGTCAGTTTGTTGCCTTCTTGGGATTAATTTAGCCTTTCCCTTACTTTTTTTTTTTTTTTTGAGATGGGGTCTCACTCTGTCACCCAGGCTGGAGTGCAATGGTTCAGTCTCAGCTCACTGCAACCTCCGCCTCCCAGGTTCAAGCGATTCTCCTGCCTAAGCCTCCTGAGTAGCTGGGATTACAGGCATGCGCCACCACACCCAGCTAATTTTTTGTATTGTTAGTAGAGACGGCTTTCACCATGGTAGGCAGGATGGTCTCTATCTCCTGATCTCATGATCCACCCATCTTAGCCTCCCGAAGTCCTGGGATTACAGGCATGAGCTCTACGCCCAACCTCCCTGACATTTTTAACTTACTCCTTTCCTTCCCTTTTAATGAAGTCCTGCCTAAGCTCCAGTCTGTCCTTGCCACCTCTCCCCTGAACTTTGAGACTATCCCTTTTTAAGTCAGTGGCTGTGGCTCTCCCTGCTCTCCTGGTGTAACTCTACCCAGCATCGGGCCTTCCATTTAGAGCAGCGCATGATGTTGTTTTCCTGGTTCATCTCCCCTCATCCACGGATTTGCATCCTGGCTGCAATAAGGAGACAGCGTGTCTCCCGGGGCTGGATTCAAGGACCCATGATTACCCAGTTCCACTTAGGACTCCATCATTATGCTATTTTAGGAAAATAAATAGATCTTGATTCTCTAATAAGAGTGGAATTCTTCAACCAGCATTGGGTAAATCAACAAGCCCGGATATGTGTGTACATAGTAGCTATTGTTTGGAAATTTGAGCACAAACATTCTTCTCTACCCAGCCTGTGGGACACAAACCAGGACTGAGTATAAAAAAGAATAAAACCAGCCAGGTGTGGTGGCTCACACTTGTAATCCAGCATTTCAGTAGGCCAAGGTGGATGGATTATAAGGTCAGGAGTTTAAGACCACCAGCCTGGACAACATGGTGAAACCCCATCTCTACTAAAAATACAAAAAAAAATAGCCACCTGTAATCCCAGCTACTTGGGAGGCTGAGGCAGGAGAATTGCTTGAACCCAGGAGGTGCAGGTTGCAGTGAGCCAAGATAGCACCACTGCACACCAGCCTGGGCGACAGAGAGAGACTCCATCTCAAAACGCAAACAAACATCATTCTCAGCAAACTGACACAAGAACAGAAAATGAAATACCGCATATTCTCACTCATAGGAGGGTGATGAAAAATTAGAACACATGGACACAGGGAGGGGAGTACTAAACACTGGGGTCTATTGGGGGGAAAAGGGGAGGGCCAGCGGGGGGGGAGCTGGGGAGGGATAGCCTGGGGAAAAATGACAAATGTGGGTGAAGGGGAGAAAGGAAGCAAAACACACTGCCATGTGTGTACCTATGCAACTGTCTTGCATGTTCTGCACATGTACCCCAAAACCTAAAATGCAATAAAAATTAAAAAACAAACAAAAAAAAAAACAAAACGCAAACAAACAAAAAACAAACGCCACATGTTCTCTCCTATAAGTGGGAACTAAATATTGGGTACACATGAACATTAAAGCTGAGAGCAATAGACGCCGGGGAACTTGACAAGAGAGTTGGGGAAGAAAGGCTTGAAAAACTACCCATTGAGTACTCTGCTCACTCACTACCTGGTGTCCAGAGCTCAGCATCACACAGTATACCTTTGTAACAAATGTGCGTGCGTACCCCCAAATCTAAAACTAAAGTTGAAAGAAATAAGAATAAAGGGAAGTTGGTTGTGTCATCCAGGAAAGCAAGCCTGAGGTTAAAATAGGTTCTGACCACTCAGGGCAAATAACAGATTTCTCTGGGCAGAGATGATGAGGCAACTCTAATAGCGTTCTGCCTTAATGGTTGTTATATACATTAACATAGCCATCCTTGCAAAGGAAAATGTAAGAAAACTGAAGCTTTAAATTCTTCTTGTATTTTCTAAACTTCTGTCATTGGAGTACTTGCATTCTGCCAATTGATAGACTCCGGAAGTTCATACAGTTGCAAATGAGAACATGAGTAGTAAATACCTCCCAAATTCTTTCCAAATGCAGTCATTATGAATTGATTTAATATGCATGTAGTTATCTTTTTATTGGTCCATAATTCCAATTTAGCAAAAATTAAAGATGAATCATAAACACTTGGAAAAAACCCCAGCATTGGTGGCACTTAATAAAAATAGATGAATATGTTCTTATGCCTTTAAAAAAAAAAACTGGACGAAGGTAAATTTTAATGTTTATAAAAAGGTAAATTTCAGTGCAGATCGAGTGGTTGGTTGGTTTCTTGGAAGCTTGACTTTATTTGCTTCATTTGGAGAGAATGTAAGACGAAAAAGTTCGGCTGGGCGCAGTGGCTCACGCCTATAATCCCAGCACTTTGGGAGGCCAAGGCCGGTGACCAGGAGGTCAAGAGATCGAGACCATCCTGGTCAACGAGGTGAAACCGCGTCTCTACTAAAAATACAAAAATTAGCTGGGCATGGTGGTGCGCGCCTGTAGTCCCAGCTACTCGGGAGGCTGAAGCAGGAGAATTGCTTGAACCCAGGAGGCAGAGGTTGCGGTGAGCCAAGATTGTGCCATTGCAATCCAGCCTGGGTAAAGAGAGTGGAACTTCATCTCAAAAAAAAAAGATGAAAAAGTTTATCATCATCAAGAGAAGTAGGTGTTAGAATCACAGGATGGGATTCTGAAATATTCTGTGGGTTGATAGATATTCCCAAAGCTCCCAGTTCGATGTTCTGAATTAAACAGGTGGCCATGTCCAGTTCCTTGGATATTAATAGTAACTTCTTTGTTTTTCAGATACTGTGTTGGCCAGTGGTCATGCCACCGACTATTTATTTGTTGGAAATATTGTTTACACAGTAAGTTTATCTCTGTTTATTAAGCCATTCTTAAACAGCTCATGTGTGGTTTCACACTTCTCTAAACCCTTTACAAGAGCCTTCCTCATTATTATTATTATTTATTTCAAATCTTCAAAATGTATTTTATATATCTTTTAAAGTTCAGAATGATTGTGAAATGCTTACATCATCCTTTCTGAAGGTTATGCAGAGTCATGGTTTCTGGACAGGTGGTTAACAGATTTCTCCATTCTTCAAACGACCCTGTTACGTCTACCTGTAAAGGAAAGCAACACTCAGAAAGGTGCTTTCTCCCAAGCTAAGAAAAGGGCAAGACTGTTATTTATGAGAAAGACTGTTACTAGAATGAAAGCTCTTCTGGAAGTGAAGCTGCCTGTATGTTCCCTGAAAATAACCCCTAGAGAATTAGCTACTGAGATGGTGCATACTTGCAAACCAGAGCTGCCTTAGAGAAACTAGCTCTGGAGTGGAGAGCTGGGATTTCTCATGGAAAGTGAAAATAACTCACTGTGAATCACGTTTTTCCAAACTGTTTCTTATTTTCACAGTATGTTGTTGTTACTGTTTGTCTGAAAGCTGGCTTGGAGACTACAGCTTGGACTAAAGTGAGTTTTCTCTCAAATTGTTTCTCTATTCAGTACAGTTTTCATGCTATAGTTTCTTTTTAAGCCTTGGGGAAACAATAAGCAATATCTGGCTATCTTATTTCAGATTTTGTATGTAAAAATTGTGGTTTGATCTTTATCAGGTAAATTTGCAATCCAAAGTCTCTTGGTGACTCATTTGCTTGGCACATAATACAGCTGTAAGCTGTTGACAGTCATCTCATTTCAGATGTATATGCTCATTGTAAAAACAAAAACCATATATACACACTGGAAAATAGAGAAGGGCAAAAAACATTTAATGTTCATAATTTTACCAAGAGACAGTCACCATTAACGCTTTCCTGTGGAAACCTCCAGACGTCATTCTATGTCTGCATGTGTGTGTATTTAATAAGATGATGCATGATAGAACACAGGACTTTGTAATCCCTTTTAATTAAATATATATTAGGCACATTTTCTGTGCCTTAAAATATAATTCAGCAAAATTATTGTTCATAATTAAAGAGTATTGCATTTTACAGACGTTCCATCATTTATTTCATCAGTCTTATTTTAGACATTTTGGTTATTTCCAGCATTTAAAGATTATAACTAAAGCTTAATGTGTGTCTCCCACAAAGTCTCGTGACCTGGCTGCTGTTTAAATGCTCTGCTAAGAAAAATGGGGAATGGGGTTGGAGGTCAGTGTGGAATCAGGGAATCCCCTAAGAGACAGTAGCGATTAATCTGGGTCAGAGGTGATGATGACTTCACTTAGGATGTTGGAGAAGGAGGTAATGAGAAGTGGTCAGAGTCTAGATTCAGTTTTATCTTTTTAAAAGCTAACAGAACTGGCACATGGATTAGATTGTGGGGTGTGAAGAAAGAGACAAGTCACAGATCATCATATTAAGAGAACAAAGGAGAAAAAATGAACTCAGTAGATGCTTAAAGGGGCATTGTTAAGAGGCAGTATCCATTTCAGATTAAAAAAAAAAAAAAAAACTCTTGCCTAAAGGAATGGAACAATCAAAGTCTCAAAATGATAAATAAAAACATCTTATTTTGTCTGTTCAGCCACTCTGTTACCAGGTTAATGGGTCCTTATTGCGTGCACCCCCCAGATTGGAGCAAACACTTGCCATGAGCTGAGAGGGGCCCACTGTCACTGTGCGATAAATCTTAGAGTAAGGTCACCTGTGACAGCAAAAGCACCTTTGTCTTCAGAGTACTCTGGGGCCATTCATTACTTGAATTCACTGTTAAAAGTTCTGAGACACAGGAATTCGAAAGATTGACTTCCCATTAACTGCTGAGTCATCAGAATCTTTCCTTAAGGAAAGGTAGCTTGGATGCAGGGATTCTGCAGCAAGTGGAGTTCGGGTGAATCTGCCCTGCCAGTTGAGAAGCCTGTGTGAGCGTCTGTTTTCCTCTGCAGTTCAGTCATCTGGCTGTCTGGGGAAGCATGCTGACCTGGCTGGTGTTTTTCGGCATCTACTCGACCATCTGGCCCACCATTCCTATTGCTCCGGATATGAGAGGACAGGTGAGTACTCCTGATGGTGAGTGTGCCTTCTGTGTTTTGTGACAGCAGTGTTTCTCCATGTGGGGGTGAGCAGGCTCTCTGTGTCTTACAACCACGATGAGCTTCAGGAGAGGCTGGTTTTACCTGGTTCCATCAGAATCTATCAAGAGACAAACCAAACCAAAGCACCTGGAAGAGGTCATCCAGGCCATAGAAATGGCATTCGTAGTTTAAAGTATTATGAAAACTCTCAACTTAAATCCTCTGGTTTATTGGCATGCCCACATTTCCATCATAAATGATGCATTAATTACACGTAGTACTGATATGTACAGTTTGAAAACTGGAGCTATTTTGAGGGGTTCCTAATCCAGTGATTATGCCGATTACAGTTTTGATGTTGTACTCTGGTTTGTTGTTATACTCTGCTGGGTCACCTGTGAGAGATGGATCGCACAGCTCTATGAACCAGATCATTGATAAACCAGACTCTCTCATTGTTCATCTCTTTGAACTAGAGAGGCCAAGATTAAAGGAATTCACACTCATTTGAAGGGTTTTTTTTCTTTCATATTATCTTTGTCCAGTGCATGAGGTTGAGCCATCAACAGTGACAAACTGGATCCTAGAATCCACAGTATTGGGTATGGAGAGGAATGAGCTTGACAATCCTGTGGTCCACTCCTCCTCAGTTTACCAAGGAAGCTGTGCAGGCCAGGTCTCCAAGCCAACCCCAGACCCACCCTTGAGTTGCCCACATCCAACACTGCCTTTAGACCCCAAGAGCTGCTGGGCCCTCCGCTTTAGAGGATTCTGGTCTGGCCCTCTGTGGCTGGGTGTGTTTCTCAGCACAGAGCGAAAAGCTGCAATGCACATAGCCAGTCTTCCCATTTGTAATCTATTCCCTGGGCTCCCAGGACCCCATGTTTCCTTCCCAAACAGCCAGAAGCCTGATGCCCAGGCCTACTTTGTCCTCTTTCTGTATCCAGGCCAGTGTATACACCCCTGGGCCCAATGGGCAACTGTTGGCGAGAGTGTGCACTGAGTAGATTGATGGTGTTCCTGCCCACATTTGCAGGATGTTCATGCAGGGACACAGAACCCAGGGTGGGAAGGGAACTATGGGTCAGGCTTCCATTGGTGTTCCTGCCCCAGGATACATACTTTAGGGCCAGGCCTGTGCATGGCATACCTGGCTGCTAACTCTGCCTTACTTACTCTGTAGAAATGAACAAAACCTCCTGGGTCCACCCAAGTCTGGATCATGTCTAGCAGCTGTTTCTCGTGAGATAGCCCAGGGTAGCATTACTTGCCATAGCTCTGTCAGCTAATAGCCCAGGGTGTCCAAGGCCTTCACTGAGTGTGGGTGCTGAGCAGGACAGACCTGTCCTATAAGAGTGGACTTGCATGTCCTCTAATGCATCTTTGCTTTCTGTAAGAAAAGAGGACAAGCATATAAGGTACGTTTCCGTTATTTTCCAAATCCAGGTGGTAGAGGAAATTAGAGGGTGTCCAATGAACCCGGAAGATTGTTGTGTAGCAAAATGAGCATTTTCCAACAAAGATATTTTGTGTTTTAATAAATCAGTTCTATTTTAAAGCAATGTGATTGATCCACACAAAAAGCAAACCAAGAAAAGTATCCACTGCAAGGCAACAGTCCTTTGGTAAGGCGTTGGTGCTTAGAATATCTGCTTCGTCTTCTCTTCCTTCTGGTTCAGGGTGGATCTGCTGTGATGAACTTTTCATTCAGGGAATTTTATGGTGCTGGAGAATAGATGGGGCCTCAGCTGATGGCCATACACAGTTTTCTAAATTAGAGAGTGACAGCTGACAGAACGGGGTCACTTGGCACGTGACTAGCAGACAAAGCTCATTCCTTTGAAAGCCCCTCTGGTGTCCTAGACAGAGAGCTGTGTCAGGGGGCCACATGTGCTTCAGTAACTCCAAATGTGTGTGAGTTAGGCAGCTTGCCAACTCTTACTCCCATAAAGACACTGTCTTTGGAACTGCAGAAGGACCAGGCTGATCGTGCAGTTACTAAGGTACCAACATTTTCACTGTACCAGTCACATAAGGGTGATGTTCTGTATGGTTATAAGGCTCAGATTAATGGTGAAATTTACATATTTAAGGACTCTTCCAGCAGAAATTTAATGAACTGTTTCTACCATCCAAAAGCAAAGAAGTGATCTTATTAAACTACATTTCACTTTTCTGTAAAAGCTTATTTTTACTTTTATTTGAAACATGTCATTTTAATCACTTTATTGGTTGGTTCCTGGGAAGCAAATGATAACGATGTGAAATAGATCATAGCTGGGTGAAACTGAGGTTTTCATTACGCAGTAAATGAGAGGATTAGTGTGGTTCTCTAGTGGCCGGACTTCTGAGTAGGTACTCTGCTGTCTGAGTCTAAAGAGCTGTGTGTCATCTCTGGTCTTCCCCCAGTGCAGGGGGCTCTGAGTGGGTAAAGGGGGCCAGGAAACCATGTGTGACTTTAGTGGCACAGCCAACTTTTGTACTGTTTCACCTGCAGTCTGCCACTCTGTATTTTGACTCAGAGGTTTGTTCATTCTTTGAAAAATGGCAGGGAAGTATTAGAAAACATTTTTTTTTTAACACTTTTGAAGGATTGCTTGAGTGGATAGTGGCTAAGACAAGTCGAGTCTCAGAACTTCCTACTGGCTCAGGAGTACTTATGTGCTGTCTAAAAAGAGATCGGAACTGGGTTCAGGTGTAGTCAGTGAAAACAGTTGGCTTTTTTGGGGAATTACTGAAAATATGCCCATGCCCTGTTCATTCCTGGGGGTCTAGGTTGGTAAATGCTTAGGAGCAAAGGGTATTCTAGGAAAAGGCCATCTTTTAAAATGACTATTTTAAGAACGCTTCTAGTGATTTTTGTAAAGTATTTTTTGTAGTTCACTAAACAGTAGGTTTTTGGCAAGAGAACCTGGTTATGTGAGGTTCTAGAATTAAATTACTGCCTAATAGCAAACAGCATTTCTCACTCAGAAGCCAGAAAGACATTTGACACACAAAACATTTTGTCTATTCATAACATCTTCAGCCATTGAAAAGATGCATTGTTTCTGCCGGGGGTTTCCTAAACTCATTTGATTAAATATTTCTTTGTCTTGTCCATTATATTTGGAGTTTTTCTCACGGCGGGGGGCAGGGGGGATGCAGGTTTTCCCTGGAGGGCAAAGGAAAGGAAGGGCTATAGAATTGAGTTATTCTACACTATCAAAGAGTCTTTATCTTCACTAAATCACCGCATGATGCGGTATGTGAAACCCAACCAGACAACATGTCAGGAAGTCCCAGTGGAAGTTTCTGAAATCAAAGAAGTCATCTGCAGCCTTCCTCTCCTGAAAATACGCCATATTTGTGGGATTTTAAGGCGCGCCTTACCCTGTTTATCCATTTTTCTCTTTTCAAGCTTGGATTTATAGTAAATTAGGTTGTGTCTGTCCTGGTGGATGCCAGTCCTCAGCTGTGGAAAATACGTAATGATGTTTTTCCATGGGGTACCAGGTGTTTTTCTTTCCCCCAGTAGCATAACCATGAGATAGAATAGGTCCCCAAAGCAGATACTTAAAGGTGGAAAAATAACAAAAAATCCCTTAGCTCACTGCCTTCCCCAAAGTTGCCTGCTGAAGTAGAGCTTTGAATTGGAAAGATGAGGGAAACTTGATCCTAGACCAGATCAGGAAGTGTGTTTCTGTTTTCTTCATGCATTTCCCAACACTTCTGACTTTAGCAGTGCTGGAGGGAATGCCATCTTACTTGTTCTCTGTTCAAAAGTCCAGAGACCTGGCTGGGTTCATACCCCAGCTATGATAGTTATGTAACCATTGGCAAATCATTTTACTTGCATTAACCTTCTAATCAGCAAAGCCAGAATAATGTCACCCACCCTAATTATCTCGGAGGACTGTGGTGAAACTATAATAGGCCAAACTGTGGGGAATCTAAAAACATGCATGTTCCTCTTTTTCCTGGAGTGATGAATTGTTTTTGAACCTTCATAAATAGGAATATTGCTGTGATTTAAACTCCAAATTCTTTTAGCCAAAGAATTTTAACATTTTATGGGTTCTAAATGGGATGCTTTTCAGTAGGGCCTATTGACCACCTGCATCCAAATCATCTGTGTTGCTTGTCAAAATGACAACCCCCACCCCCCATAATATGTGCAGACAATCACATGCACACACACACACACACATGCACACGCACACGCACACACAGAGACACACACTCACATACACAGACACACATAGTAAATTGCAAACTCTGGGTGTGGAGTCTCAGCATCTGAGCTTCAGTAAATCTCCAGGCGATTCTTCCCTTTAAAGTTTGAGAACCACTGCTTCAAAACACCAAAAATATGACTCCATTAGAATGGTTTTAGCTCTTGCTGGGTATTACATGTTAAATGTTTATATAAGACAGTCGGCTGGTGATGGTGACTGCCTTCAGGGCGGCTAGCTTTCAAAATAGGGAATTACACCAAAAGACATGACATTGTTCACCACAGAAAAATTCTCCTCACTAACTTTTGCCGCTTTTCCTTTAAATTTCTTTTCATTGCTAGTAAAGGAGAGGGGAAAAAAATCTTTTGACTTCAAGGCATACAATCTGCAACTCTGCCTCTAGTGCCAAGCTCCTGACTCCAGCCAGTTTCTGGAATATGACAGGCTTTATTATTATTATTATTTATTATAAATACAAGAATGGGTTTACTTTTGGGTTTTATGTACACACTTGTGTACACACAATGCAAATCCCAGTGGACTATAAGTACACAGAGGGAGGAATGGTTCTGCCATCATGGAATCAGTGATTAATAATTCCACATCTTCCCCAATCATCTCCCCTGGATTTGTAACAGGCCTAGGTATGTTCCACATGAAATTTGCAAAGAGTGATGTTTCCCAGTTGTATGTGCTCTAGGAGGTAAGCTGAGAAGTTGGGGTGATGTCAAGTAGGTGGCCATCTTTGCTCAGCTATCATTC